GCCCCTTCCTGCTTCCTGGAGCCGCGGCGGCTCCGTGTGGTGAGTGCCGGGGGAAAAATACAGATGCGTGTGTATATATTTCCCTCGCTCCCTTCAGGGCAGTCGTGTTTGGCCTGCCCTGAAACGGAGCAGGGCGAACTTCAGACTTTGCCGTGGGGAGCCCAGACCGCCCTCTGAGGCGCTCGTGGTGCAGCCGGGCAGTGGGGCAGAGCTTCCCATGGGAGGGACCGTGTCTTTCTTGGCCGTAAAAAGAAAAGGCAGCCCCTGTGTTTAATGTCACCCTGGGGAGGCAGACGGCGAGTCCCTAACAAGGCCTTGGCTTGGCGGGTGAAAGCTGAATCAGCTGCAGGCACTTGGCCTAGAGGGTGATTACGATGGAAAGTGAGTGCAAAGACGCTCCCTCTCTCCCTTTCCCCATGTCTTTTATATTTAAACTTAAGAGCACTTCACGGTTTCCCTAACCCTAAATCTCTGGAAGTAACGTGCCTATAATCTTTAATACCACATTATCAAGGATCATTCTTCAGAGTCTTCCTGCAAACACAACTACATCTCAACACAGTTGTGTTAGCAGGTAACGCTTTTCCATTGCAGGCTGCCCTCCATAGTTGCGCTGAAGTTCCCGTTGATGTTTGCCATCCTAGGAAATTATAGGGAAGGCCTCATGCAGCATGTTCAGGTTTGCCCTGGTGCTGGTGGCGGTTATGTGTGCGTGCTCATGCCAAGAACTGATGTTCGCTGTGTTTAATGTTGTGTTTGAGAGGCAACGTTAGAGAAGTAAAGATTTCATGCTCGGTATGGATAGCATGTGTTGTCCTTGTAGCAGAGGTAGGGGAGAGTAAAAGCAGTTGAATATAGAAAAATTATGAATACTTGGTGACTGAGAAGATGTAGAGGAAAAACTTCCTCCTCTGATGAAGCTACTTTCAGTGTAGTTTAAAGGCCTTCACTTCCTTCTCTTCTTCAGGAAGTCTTTGCTGAATTTTGATTCAATGTGACAGGGATGTGTTCTGCAAGTGCTGGTCAATGAATAACCTAAAATAGAGGTTATAAAATGAACTTTTTTTTCCCCCTCTGGCTCAGGAAGCTATTTCGGCAAGCAAGAATACATGTAAAAGCCAAGATGTCTCATACTGGGGGGCAGTACAGAAATAAGCAGCGCTTGTATCACGAGAATCATGGATCTGATCGCTACCAGGAGGAGAAAAGAGCGAGGAAGCCTTACCCATGCAACGGAAGGTAGGTCCTCACCACTCTGCAGTGCCACAGATCACAGCAGACCTGTCACGTCTCTTATCTTGTTTGTTGTTTTTGAACAACGCTCATATTCAGGTAACAGAGAAAGCACTTACTGAGCCTTGAGATCATGCAATATGATGAAGTCCCTTTCAGAATCGGGGAGCTGTTTGGTCCTTCCAGGCTTTAAGCAGTTTTTAACCTTTTCCTTTGCATGGTGCTCCAGGCTGGCATGGGGACTTCCTGCGGCAGGAGGTGGATGGGTGGCTCTGAGCCCCCATGGCGATGAGCAGCCAGCACTGCCCTTTGGCCTCTGCAGGTACCCTAGGGCAGCCAGAGAGTGGAGGCAAAGAAGGGGAGGAGACGAATAGCCTGAAGACCTGAGAAAAACTGAAATACTGAAGTCTTCCCTGATAATGTACATTTAAACAAGAAAAAAAAAGGTGGGGGTGCTGTTGCTGTGAATGGAAGTAATAGTGAAGAGCATTTTGTGGACTGGAAGGAGAACTTATGACTAAGCATGAAAGCCTGGATGATACACATAATACACACCAGTGTATTATGGATTTTTTTCCCCCTCCTGTCTCTTAGTTCATGAAAAATTAGAGAAAAATGGGTACCAAGGACAGCCTAACAATCGTCCCCAATGACTGTCCTTAGCAAAAGGGGGTATCAAGCAGGGTATAGTTAGATTACTGTGAACATATTAAAATCATGAGCAGCAAATGGCAGAGAGATATTAAAGATATTTTTCCAGAAAAGGGATTATTTTTATAGCATCACTGAATGCAAGGTAGCTATAAATTAAGTCACCATTTCTTAGCAAAGCGTTTCCGTTTTTGTTTTTTTTTGTTTTTTTTTTTCCTTGTTTTCCCTGCACCGCTAGTTAAAAAGGACAGGTCTGGGGACAGGTGGAAGGGCCATAGAGGCCAGCAGACTGAGCCTGTGTCCACATGGGGCTGGAGAAAGAGAAGCTGCAGCCACAGGTTTAGGATAGCCATGAAGACAGTTCTCAGCGTCGAGTCAAGCGTCCGGGAGGCGCCAGCCCTGGCTACAGCTGCTCAGAAAACTTTTCCATCCATTGTTTGGATGGAGTTTGGCTTGCCCCAGCGGCGTTTCCCCTGCTTACCTCCCCTGAATAAAACGGCTGCTTTTGCAAGGGAATTGCAGTATTTTCTTGAAGACTTTCTTTTTGGCCCAAAGATGTCCCGATATTATGATTAAAGAGACGGGAAGAGTTTTGTGGGAGCTGTAATTTGGGTGCCTGATACTTGCATCCTTTATAAGCAGGAGTCTGGCCAGAGCCTCTCTTTTTCACAATGCGTTTGTGCCTGAAACTCCTGCCCTGCCGGGCCTGCTGTCATTGCTGGCAAAGGGAGGGAAGGAGCTGTGTTACACTGAGCTGGAAAGGCCTGGAGGAAAGCAGGAGCAAAGGTGACCAGAAGAGGCAATCGTGAGGAAAACATATCGGAAAGAAAGTGTGGGTTTTTTTTTGATTGTTTTGGTGTTTTTTTAATCATACTCAGTTGCTGAACACCATTTTTTTTTTGCAATTTTTTTTTGTTTGTATTTGCTTTTTTCTTTCTTTCTGGCAAGTAGCAGGATACAATAGAGAGCAGCTGCATCAGAAGTACCAAAGGAATTGCTTTCAAGTTAACTGGAAGTCTTATAAATCACAGGGCTTATTTAATTTATGTGACACAGCTGTGCAGGATGCTTTGGTGGTTGCACAAGACCCGGGACAAAGGTCAGAAAAATCAGGAATATTTCGGCCAAAACACAGCTGTTGGCAGCTACACATGGAGATGTTAGGGTTGCTCTTATTATTGAATGTCTTAATTAAAATGTAAAAACTACAAAGAACATGATTTAATGTGAATGAATGAGATTATATGTGTAGATTGGATCGATGGGATTGGATGAAGAGGAACCTTAGTGAAGGGAAATGATACTAGGAAACAAAAATACAATTGAGGAAAACCCAGATCTGTGGTTAAGTAATTCAAGATAAATTCAATAGGGGGAAAAAAAAGAGATTTAAAAGTAACAATGCTGAGTAAGACTTGCAGCTCTTCCAGCTGCATCTTGAAAAGAATACAAGTTACAATTCTCTTGAAAATTAGGAAGAGCATTTAGGTTAGATCAAACACCTAAAAACAATTTACACTGTGGTTCTTAAGTTAAAAAGAGCAACATGTAGTTTTCCCACAGATTAACCTAATATTGATTCACCCTTTCCTGTATTCTTAAGGCTTCCTTCTGAGAGTTCCTTCTCCCACTTGGGTCAACCTCAGACATCAAACTGGAGATGATGGCTTAAGAAGTGGACCTGTAGTTGTTGCAGCAAAACTGAAAGTGCAGTTTTGTCATACAGAAATGAAGAGTCTAATAAGAGACACAAAAGTGGTTCTTTTGCTCAATTTTAGATTCCTTGTCAGATATCATCAGACTTAAAGGGATTTAGAAATAAAGAGAAAGATCTAAATAGGCAAATATTTTTCCTTTTTAAAAATCTTTGTCTGTTTTTTTAAAGACTTTTATTCTTTTGAAAGGCATCTTTGTGAGACATGGTGATTTGAAATATGAACTTGATACAATGTCTACTCATAAAATAGTTATTCTCTTTTTAAGATTTACTATTTGAAAAGTACCATCTTTATTCTCTAGGTTGCTACAAACTAGTTAAAAATGTTTGCTTTTCATGAGAAAATGTTTTTCCATATTTATGGAGAGGAGCTCCCCTCACACCCATCTCCTTGCTCCCTTTTGCAAATAATTCAGGCAATTCAGGCAGTCAACTCGGGGAGCACCCAACTTGCCAAAACAGCAGTGAATGATCAAGTGCAGATATCCTTATGAACATCGATTTATGCAAGTGTTTGGGGTACTTGCTTTCAAAGCACACAAGCGAGAAAAGATAAGCAAGCCAGGTGGTTCCAGTAACAGCAGTGTCTACCACTCTTTCATGTCCAAGTCTTCAGGAGAGGGCACGACCCAGTGAACATGCAGTACCCCTTTTTGCCGTTGCAGATCAGGAGAAGACATCCAGGGTGGCCAGCATGCAAGGGCTTCCACCGCTTCCTCTGACCCTTACCATAAAGCCTCGGGAGCAGCGCCGGTGTATTTTGACCCACCGCCTCAATGTTACCCTTCCAAAGAGACCTTCTCGATGAAGTGTTCAAAGGTATGCACAACAAGAGGTATGTGAGACCCTCGCTGCGTGCCATCTGCTCCTCTCCTTGCAAAAGCTGCTCTTGGCTTTGCTTTGCGTGGTCAGAAGCCCAGTGAAGGAAAGCTAGATAAATATTTGAAAATAAACAAACAAACAAAAAAAAACAGGAGAGTTTGAATGGCAGTAACAGCAGGTTAGCAACTAGTTTCAGGCATCTAAAGGCCAGATTTGCAGAGGTGCTCAGACATCTAAAGATGCAGGCAGTAGGTTGGTTTCCTAGAGCATCTGAGTGGGGCAGGCGCCTAACCTCTCAGCTCTTGCAGCAAAACTTAACCCATGTCCCTGACTGCTGGGATTCAGGAGTAAAACAGATAATTGCATCTCTAAACTATTCAATTTTGCTGTTAAGGCTTTGATGCTAAATCTTGTCTAATACAGTCTCCTCAGACCTCTTATCAACTCTTGATTCAGACCTCTTATCAACTCTTGATTTAATCCAATCACTGATTGGATTAATCAACATTGCAGGAGGCAAAAATATCTTATGGTCATGAATCCTTGGAATTCTTGAATAACATCTCCTGAATAAGTGACTACCATATGCAGAGAAATGGACATTAATGTGGGAGGCCCTGGCACCTAGTTCACTTCATTAACTCATTTCTGTAAACTGTAGAGGAGAGAGGGAAAAAAAAATCCAAACATGTAGCCCAACTAGCCTCTGGTTCTAACCTTTCGTCTTTTAGGACAGGCAGCATCCTCACCTCCTTTGTAGGAAGGGCCCACTGCAGTCCAGGCTGAAACTTGCAGCCAGATGCAAAGTCACTGGGCAGAGACTCCAAAGAGCCATATGGTGTCCTTCAGCAGAGGCAGAAATGAAGGCTTTAGCTGTTGGAAGTAAATTGGGATATGTAATGTAATCTTACTTCTTTGTTCCATGAAGGAGAGAGAAATGACACACACAATTTGCTTGTAGTATTTGTCTATATGTGAATGTGTGAACAATTCTAAGAATGAGCTTAAACTCCTTTTTTTTTCCCCTATAAATGTGCTCTCTGTGCTATTGTAGTTAAATCTCCTCAAGTTGAAAAACAAACTGCCCACAAACACGCAATTACACCATCTTTACTGATCCAGAGCTGAGCCCGAGCAGTTCCTTCTTCAACAATACTGAATAATTTTAACTTGTTTCAGAGAAACCCTAAAAACTCCAAGTCTTATTTTATCACAGCTTTAGAAAAATTAGGTGACAAGTTATTTCTAGCGTTCAGTTTCACTAGCTGATAACTTAATGTGACTTTTTTTTTTTTTCCTCATTGGCTTCCCATTACTTCAGTGCGTTAAAGATCATTAACATTTTCAAAACCTGCTAGTTTTGGATGTATCAGTTGAAGATGATACTTTCACTGCCACTCCTCCTGCCAGTATTCCTCAGTGTTTTCCAGAAGTTTAATATCTGAGCTTGAGGTGGAGATGGGACATCATGTGGAAAAGAAACCCTTTTATTAGCTGATATATATCAAAAACTATACAGAAATTGAAGGTTGATAAGGTTATGAAACTCTCTTCTCCCAACAAGCACATGTTTAATTTTTGTAAGTGATTTTTTTGTTTAATTTTTGTAAGTAATTCAGCAGAATTTCCTGGAATTGTTCTGTAGGCTGCTGTATTCTCTGCAGTCAGATAGTAAATGTTCTAAATGAAAAGCTCTGTGAATTGTTTAATAGGAAGTCGACTACCTGTGAGCTACAGTGTCTTACAGCACAGAAATTCCAGGAAGCATCTATTTAACCATCTCCATCTTCTGCCAATGATTTATCATTACGGAGCTCAAACCTCCCCTCCCAAGCCCCTCCAATTCCAAAAGAAGTTAGTACCAAGCATGCTAAATCAAGCGACCTACCACAACCTTGTCCAAAGAAACATCTGAGTTGTGCATCTTTGTCTCTTAGTGTGTCTCTCCCTGTTTATTTCTTTTGTTTGGGACCCAGCAAATACGTGTCTGTTCTCTGTGTGTGTTGGCCTGGTTGGAAAGCTAGAAAGCAATTCTAAACAATGAGAGCTTTCAAAAGCATTTGCCTCACCTGTGTGCATTCTCTTCATCTATGCTTTTCCCCATCAGTATCCCCAGAAAAACTAAAGTGAAATTTCTGAAATAGGCAGTTATTTTTGTAGGAATCCTTCTAACACCTGGGCTGAAGTGGCAAGAAAAAATACTTGTTCTCATATCTCTTGTTATTCTCTCCCCTCCTCTCCCTTTCCCTCTTTTTTTTCCCCCCCCAATAATTGCGTTAAGAACATTATTGCAACACTAATATAATGAAATAAACAGCTGCCAACTGATAAAAATCCCATTTCCCAGGAGAGATTTTCAGTACTGTCTCAGACACTTCAGATATTCTGGTCCTTTTTAATCCTTTCATCTTGAAAACGTAAGAAAAAAGTCTATTAAAACGTTCTAAGAGCAATACATATTCTAAGCAATCTGGGTGGGATCACATGGAGAGCACTAGTGGATCTTACAGAACACCTAGCTAGGTGTTCTGCCTAACAATATATCAGAAATGCCAAAGTACCAAATTCAGGAAGACTGTGAGAGTTAGGACCAGTAGAGAGTAAGTTGCAGAGCGAGTCCTCTCCCAGTTGCAGGTGGTTGTAACTTTCTGAATTAAAAAAGCTGTATCCATGTCCATTATGTTTAATAGCCCCCCTGGAATTTGTCTGGCCTCTACATGATCCTGTGATGAGGAGTTCCACAGTTAATTCATAGCTTCTGGAGGAGTACTGCTTTGCTTCATAAAACTTTTTAAAAGGCTTCCTCTGATTCCAGTGGTATTCAAAACAGCGAATTTCAAATTTACCTCCTCCATCTGGTTTATAATTTTAGAGTGAAGTCTTTCTCCCTGTCACTGAGGTCCATCTTTTCTTTGTAGACTGAAGAACATCTGCTAGTAAGAGTGAAATCTTTCCACTTCTCTCATCAGCCAGTTAGCTGATCCATCCTGTATCCTTTTGAGATGGGCTGTCTGGAATCACACGCGAAGGTCAAGATGTAAATTCCCAAAGGAACTAGGCAACTGTGCAATTGTTCTAGGGTTGTAGTCCTATCCTAATGTTTTCTAGCATTTGCTATATTGTTTGTCTGTCAGTGAACACTGATATTTTCAGGAAAGTATACCTGCTGTCTTTCCTGAGCAGAAAGGATTTATTTAGAGCCCATCTGCCCATATGAGAGCAGATTTTGTGAATTTTGTGCAATTTTTGCATAATTATGTGCAACTATTAAAATGGACTTTATCATCCTATTTTTCAGTCTCTTCCAAAGCATTAATCTGTGCATCTACTTTGGTGTTTTGGTTGAAATCAGGTGTTCACTTTTGAGCCGAGTCTGTTAGGAGTCCCCACCTAGAGCTCTTTGGGTTGTGACACAGAGCAAGCTCAGGGCACATGAGCAGGATTCCCTTCAGATCACACTGAATGAGAGGATGAGCTGTGAGTGCTATCAAATGCTCTGCCCTTTGGACCAAGCTGCAGCTAGAATGAGGTATTTCTTACCTCAGAGTGCATTGGTGTGGACCCAAGGTGTTCAGCTCCAACTGTCCCACTCTACAGATCCACTCCCATTGCACTGTTGATGTGGACATAGCTAGTGACCACAGGCAGTGCAAGGAATAAGATTTGACTCTTGCTTCCGTGTGTTTAAAAACCAGTCATTTCTTCTTAGCTTTTACTTTCTTTTAAGCAATCCTAATCTTTAGGAGGAGCTTCACTTTTATCTCTTGGGAGCCTGTATCACTAAGAGTATTTGGCCAGAGGCTTTGTCCTGAACTTTCCAGAAAATCAAGTGCATCGTCACTTGGATTGCTTGTCTCCTTATATTTGGTGGCTCTTTTGAAGGACTTCCTCTGAGAAACTTCCGAGTCTTCTCTTCCTGTCTAGCTGCTACCTGCTCTTCCTCACTAGGAAGACGGACTGCAGGTTGGAAAGGCCCCCGAAACACAGGAGTTTGATGCCTCTATTCCTGCAGCAGGAAGGGAGACTGGACAACACTGTATGGGCTGGTGTCTTGCTGTCTGTGAATCCTGTGTAATTATATGGGAACTGGAAATAAACTATCTACCTCTGACAAAGACAGACTTTTCCTTAGCTAAGGAATTAGCACATTTCCTATCATTTCCTACAGCTTGTGTGTATGTGTAGTGTGTGCCATTTAGAGCAGCTCAGGTTGACAAAAGCTCAACAAAACTTTTAGCCTGAGGATACTTGAACTACTGCATTTCTCTCAACAGAAAACTTCTAGCTTGCTGTTTACAGTTAGTGCAGTTAAAGATTCTGTAGTTCTCTCCTCAGAGTAGGAAAACTAAACTAGCTGTCACATATTTGCTTAGTCAAGTTCAGTGCTTTTGGCTACCAGAGGGAATGAGGAGTGTTCAAGGGTGGTTGCTGTGATGCTTCCTTCACAGCAGAGTAATCAAAATCTGAGCCAAACCTGAGAAGGATTGCTGATCCTAAATCAGTTAGGCCAGCTGACTTATTAAAAAAAAAAAAAAAGTTTTATTTTTATGATATGTACTGGTGTGAAAGAAATAGAGAAGTGCTATTGCATGACACTGCTTCCTTTAATTTTACTTAAACACATAAAGTAAACTAAGTTTCTCCCATCTTTGGTCAGTATCTGATTCAAAAAAGCTTGTGTTTTTGCCTTGTATGGAGTTGTACTCTCCTAGTCATAATTTCTGTACTACGTAACTTATTTTTTAATTCTTCCACCCACTTGGCGTTGAAGAGAGACAGCACTAAAAAGGTTAGAAAGAAATTTGAGGGGGAGCAACTATAATTGAATCCCTGTTCTTTGATGCCATGAATGCAGCTTAAACAGTCACCATGAATAGTGTCAGAGTTCTTAAGCATATTGTAGGCGCTTCCAAACAATCATGTCTTTAACCTACTTTCTAAAATCCACAATTCTTGTAAAGCCTCCAAACCAATTTCCTCTCAGAAAAAGACAGCATTACACTCTGTAGCAAG